TAAACTCCTAGTATCCCCCCCTAATGACTCGTACAATACTTCCACATAGAATCCCCATTAAAACCCCCCATTAAGGAGTTTACAGTATAGTTCATGTGAGGGTTCTCCAATGTTGGGGTCTTTGGGGATGCTGGACATTTGAGTAATGTTTTTTTTGGTGNNATACTATACCCCAAAAGGAGGAGAGAATATTACTTTTTAGTGGGTACCATAGTATCCCCAAATAAAATACTACTCATTTGTGGGGATTATAAGGCTGTTCTTGGGCCCCCTGTGAATGTAGACTTATGATTAACCAACCCCCTCGTTTAAAGGGCCTTAATATTAGGATCCCTATTATAGTTCCTATTAAGGGGAGTGGGTTTGTTAACTAACTAGAGGTTTACATTAGGGATTGAAGAGTCAGTTTCAAAAGTTCTCATACACCTGAAAAAGTTCCCGAGCACGAACCCCGAAGGCGGATCCCCATCGTAGAGTCTAGGGTTTAGGGTTTAGGGTTTTAAGAGTCCCTGCCGGACTAGCTCTTTGGTTCACCACATACAGGAGTTTCCATACATCGGGAGCAGCGATACAGACCCCATATTGTATTCCTTATTACAAGGACTCCTCAAAAAAAGGCTCCTGATATTCCCATATAACCCATTATAGTAGTTTCCTGTTTATTTTCCATTATCCCAGTATAACCCCAATATAACCCCAATATAACCCAGACCCTAAACCCTAAACCCCAATAGAACCCCAATAGAACCCTATAGTTCCAGTCGACTGCTTCTACAACCGCTGCAGGTCCCAGGATGAGGAGGATGATCCGAACCCGAAGACCCTAGGGTTTAGGGTTTAGGGGTTTAGGGTTTTGGGTTTAGGGTTTAGGCTTTAGGTACCATGTACCTTGGAAAGTATGGTTGTTATATGGTTTTGTCATGCAAGGCCGTGCAGGATTTCTCATTTTGAGGTCTTTTTGAGGTACCCTATACTAAAATCATACCAGGAATATGGAGCCATGATATTGGTAATTATCTAGGCCCCTATAGTATGGCCAAGTTTCGTTGTCTTGTTCTTTTCCCGTATCGTGCTGCACGGCGCAGGGCATCAACTCGGTGCAGGTGGCGGTGACCCAGTACCTCACGGAGCTATAGTTCCCCTGAAGTAGATAGAATATAGGGTTTAGCGTTTAGGGTTTAGGGTTTAGGGTTTAGGGTTTAGGGTAGGGTATAGTCCCCCTTGAGTAGATAGAATATGGGGGTTCTATAGGGATAGTGGAAAAGAAAATTGAAAGTACTATTTAGGGTTTAGGGTGTATAGCCCCCCCCTTAAGTAGATAGAATATGGGGTGTGTAGGGATCTTTTTTTCATATACCCAAAGCCATGTTCTATCCACTTAAGGAGGACTGTACCCTGAGCCTCCCCACAGTATGGGCCACCAGGAGTTCAGGCGTTGTCGGTGTGGTTTAGGGATTTTTTGCTTGATTGAGGGGGCTATCGATTGCAAGGCCATTTGGCTTTGGGGGTCGCATGTTTGGTGGGCCCATGGTCATTCGCACTACCAAAAACTTGGACTACAAAGAAGCACTGCTTCTTGTACGAAAGGGTCCTGTGCACGGTGCAAGTGCCTGAGTAGAAAGCTGCTTCTTCTGTACCCTACATGAGGCTCTAGCTCATGGTAGCTGCAGAGGGTGGCAGAACCCCAGATATGCAGATTCTCGTAAATCCTTCTGCGAAGGCTATGGGAAACCTTTACACAACACGGGGGCACTGTGTGTCTGAGTCCACGTTGGGCAACTGCATCGCACAGAACACCTGAGCGCGAGTCCAGGCTTTCGTGTCTGTAGGACCTGTATTGCAGCGGCCTGAATCATTGAACGCACCTTGCGCAGTTTACACACTGCTCATCTGGGGATTGCAAGAGCACAAGATGAAGGACTATTGGGGGGCTCCGGTATTGATGCAGAATACCTGGGCAATGGTTGCCGGACGTTTCACCATCTGCTCGAGTTCCGTCATTGCCAGCTAGCTCACTTGAGGAAAGAACAGTGTGGCCTGGGATGTCTCAGGTGTCTGGCTTGCAACCCATTTAGCACACTCTTTTGCCTTGACTCGGCCCTGTTTCTTGTGGGTGCTGGGGGTGGTGAAACCAACTCAAGACAACAGGCTGAAGCATGCTGGAAGCAACCCAGAGAGCCCACTATCCACCATCTCTTGATTGAGGAAACTACCTTGAACCGCAACCATGAGGTGTAGAACAATTTTTGATGGAGGCTCTTGGGGAAGCTGTCCTTCAGCACAACCGAGGCCCCCACGCCAGCTGTGATGACTCCAGCGGGGTGGTCCTCCCATGCTCAATAACTTCATCTTTGGGCTCTTGAGGTAATGCCGTGCCACTTTAGGGCTTACTGTTGACCCAAGACACTGAACTGAGGTTGGGAAGCAAAGTGCTCTGGCACTGGGTTCTCGGGATTCCTGAGTCGGCAGGCCCCTACACAAGCCCATCCAGGCACGAATCACCAGGTTGAACGGGGTCTAGGTGGTGGGGAGAAGCAACATTGTGCATTCCAGCCTGCGTCTGATCTGTTGGGTCGGACGAATACAGGATGAAAGGGAGAAACAAATGTCGCTTCCCGAAGTGAAATCCCCACTCCTGAATAGAGCATCCACCCCAACATGCCACAACAGGGATGCTACGGACTTGTGCCAGGGCTTCTCCACGAATGACCCTACCCGCCCATCACCAGGCCGTCTTACAAGGCTTGGGACTAATGCTTGGAGCTTTTATTCTCTCTCCCCACGGCCTCTCCGGCGACATCGGTTTCCTGCAGCTGCGAGAGATCAAACTAGAAATCCGGCGTTACATGTGGAGATTCTGAGCCCTGTGACCAAAATCTTTAGCTTGGGCATGCGTAAATGCACACGTGCTTTCATTCGAAGATGCCATTTAACCCTTTAGAACTGACCGGCCATCCAGAATGCGGCCCTCTCTCCTCTGACCTTTCTGTGCACTTCTTGGGTAGTGACATGTATGGACTTCTGGCCATTGCGAAGAAGTGCGATTCACAAGCCTGGGAACCATTCTAAACCTAAACTGCAGCCATCAGTAAGTGAGTCTCGATCTTTGGAGCCCTCGGGCACCCAGATTCTTTGCCCTGCGGCAGCGGTCGTCGTTGTAGAGGAAATTCAAAAACATCCAAGCGGATAGTACGAATGGAAGACCCTATGTGATTATCCATCGACACTATTCGCTAGGGATCCTTCCCCCAGGCGCCTCGACACGTTTAAGTCTGGAGGCGAGGGGGGGAAAGCAAAAATCAGCCCCAAGTGGAAACGTCACTAAGAAAACGCCGCGAACTGGGCTTGGCCCCAACCCGCTGATGATGGGGATCATGACAATTATATTCGTGCCCCCATATTCTTATAGTTTAGCACCACACTTCGGCGGGGGCCTGAACTCCTAGTATTCCCTTTAACAACCCTGCAATACTCCCCTACATATTCCCCTATATAACCCCCTCTGCGGAGTAACTAGACTATACCTCATGTAGGAACCTGAGTAGCAATGCCTGTAGGAGGTTTTAGGGCAGAGCTTCAGCCGAGTTCGAAGAAAGCCATGCGAAAGTGTCATTGCTGAGTGCTGCCCTCCCCCTAATAGTAGTGGGAATAATATTTACATGGTGTTTAGCAGTTAGTAGGGAATGAAGGAATGATTGTAGGGACTACTCAATTTCATTCTATAGGAACCAGCATAATGATAACCCCCTCCCAACCCCCAGAACTGAAGACCCCCAACAGGCAGACCATTTACTACAGTAAGGAGCCCGAAGCCACTAGGTGCCAGAATGTCCTTGGTATAACCAAAGCACGAGAAATCTCAAGGCATAGGGTACTTCGGGTGCCCTAAACTCTAAACCCTACACCGCATGCAGGGTTTTTAGTATGCACCATATGGACCCATCCTCAGGCACCCCGGCCACGTCCCTCAAGAGCCTCCATTGTTCTCCACATGGCATCGCCCTAATGATAATCTGAAGATCACCATACAAACCCCACGAACGCTCTTCCAAACACTCTGCTAAATCCGCACACTCTGGGCTCTTATGCATCTGGGCTGGCACTCTGAGACCCAAACCCTAAGCCCCAAACTCTACCCCTGTTTCATTTGCCATGCAGCACCTTACCATCCCCCAAACTAAAGCAGAACCGCATGTCAGCCCCTCTCAGAATCTTGCTAGCACCTTTTTTGGGGTGATCCATGTTAGCTTGCGGGAGTGTAAGCTCCAAAGTATACATCCCCCACATAATCCCCACAGTACTTACGCCCATGCACCCCGCTCTAATCACCGTCCCAAACCCTGGACACATCCTGGACCACTGGCTGCCACTCAGCACTGATGGTCACGGAGCCATTCTTCCCTGCGGAACCGCAACTGATCTTGTCCAACAGTGGTTACCCAAAAACACTCGTAAAACAACAGTATTGTTACAATTATTAGGAAAATTCTGAATCTGATTTGGAGATCATACATGGGGTGGGTGATTCGTCTTTGGTGTTTACGGGAATTTAAGAGATCTTGGGTCATTGTTCAAATCGGCACCCGCTTTCGAGAACTCTATATGATGCTCCTGTCTCTTCACTGGCCAATATTTGGGTATCCCAAGACTGCTTCTTACTCGAGATTATTCCGACAGAGTCCCGGTCACAAAGGCGAACTTTTCGTCTGTTCTGCAACCTTTGGCCAACTCAAGCTTTGTTACTTTCCCGAAAGAATGAGGCCAAGAACCAGGTTGAGAGTGTAGGGCCCGAACATGGTATATGCAAGCTATCCGCACATATGGCTCAAGTGCTTGAAAGCTTTGGATTTCTCAGAGGCTCCCACAATCAGAATAAAGACAGTACGTGACGGTGCAATGCTTTAGGTGGACCCCCCCCCTACCAAGCAATGGTGACTATAATGTGAAAATCAGGATAATATCAAGGTCCTCTCATATTCCTATTAAATCACTATTACAGGGCGGAGGGTCCTCCTACAAAATAAACCACATCTGAAGGCTGGTAGGCTTTTGTAATGAATATGTATATATATATACATGAACCTGAAAGATACATATGCAAAACTTGATCTTCATCTTCTACGTTAAGTGATCTCGACCCTCGAATCACGAGCACAAGGGAGTCCGGTAATTCTGTTCGGGCTCTCCTACGCTCCCGTTGTACCACTAGTGGTTGGCGGGGGGGGCGGGATAACTTGATTTATCCGTGAACCTGCCCCTGCCCAGCAGAAAAAGCACGAGAGCGGGCCTTTCTCGTCAAACTCGTTCCGTAGGGAGACGGTGACTTTCTTGTCTTTCCCCCAGGTGGCCTGGGCAAACGAGCAGAGTCTAGTTTCAGGAGCTGCAAGACCCCAATGTAGGGGGGAACGCAACGGTCAGAGCTCAGGTCCGCAGTCTGACAAGGGTCGCATGACATCTTTCAAAGCTCTCATTGAACACCTAGACCTAACAACCCAAATACCTCCGGAAATGTATTCTCGAATTTGCATGATGAGCAGCCAGCAACTCCACGGGAATGCTGACTTTGCCCAGAAAGTCGTCCCTGGTGATGAAGTCCTCAAATGCTTGCGGGGTAAGCCCCAGACAGAATCTGTAGCAAGGATTGCTGAACAGGTGATTTTTTCAGCACCAAGGTTTGTTTCTGCTTGAGGGTCGCCCCACGATGATTGAAGCTAGATCTGCCAAGAAATGAGTTCTTTGGTTGATACTACAAAACCCTGCTGTAAAACAGCAAAAATTCCCAAGAAATTGGGCACCAAGAAATCTGGGCTCATGCTATTCTTCCGCATCAACCCTAGGAGCAGAAGGAGGGGCACGATGCTTGGTGGGTGATGAGAACACTCGAGTCGGTAGAAAGGTGGTGAGTTCCGTTCCGAGGCTTACGGTGGGGCTGGCTCACCCTAAACCCCAAACCCATATCCTGAACCCGAAACCGTAAACCCAAACCCTTTTTCATAAACCCTCAACCCCAAACCCTCATCCCTTAACCCTAAACCCTAGGGGGCAACCTGAGGGATCCTTGTAAGAACTATGGAAGTTCCTCTTTTGGGGGGAAAACTCCGAGTACGCAACACCCGGATTTCTCAACTTAGGACACGTAAAAGGGGGTATATAGGGGGTTAGGGATTATATGGGTGGTTATCAAAATTATGCTCCCTTTTTGGGGTACCCTAAATATTAGGGGCCGTATTATAATAGGGACCCAAAAAGGGACCATAATTTTGATAACCACCCATATAGAGGAGTATTATTCTTGAGGTTATTAGGGGGGATAATAAGAGTTTACCAACCAAGAGATCGAACGAGAACAACCTGCGGCTTGCAAGCTTTCACGAACTCTTGCCACTTCGGGCCGATTCTTTGAGGTGCTTCTGAGCACGGGCTTTCGCACTGCAATGTTTCAGAACAGAAGCTTCTCATCCAAAACATCACCACCGCCCCAGACGCTTCCACTCTCTTCCTTGTGACGGAGATTTGTACTTGCTGGCCGCGATCAGCTCAAAAACACGTATGCGAAATTTTCTCCAAAGCTTACAGCTCGCTCAGCTTGAACCCTCAGCAGAAGGTGGCGTTTGATGTGTGGCATCATATACTACAACTGTATCTGGGGAACCCCTTTTCAGTTTTGGGTGGGGTCTCTGTTGATCTTGCCCGCAACCCTCCAAGCATCTGTACGAGTGATCTGCGCCATCAGTCAGTGGCAGTGATCAAAAGGGCAAAACCCTAAACCTACTGCTAAAGTGTACTGCCACGCTTCCCAGAAGTAGGTTGCGTCTGGGCTTCTAAGACCCCAAGACCCCTTTCTTGCAGAACGTGCCGAAATCTGGCAGAATTCAAAGCATTTTTCAATGCGCTCCCCAATGAAAGGGCCTCGGGCATTTTCTGGGTCGTGCATTGGGAGTATCCAAAAAAACTCTGTCATCCTTCTACTCAAGCGTTAAGCACTGCCACGGTAAGACCAACTCCACAGGAAGGCTCCGTAAAAAGCGTTGCGGGTTCCTGCGACCAGCGGCATCCCCTGATTCTGGATTGCCCTCACAGGCCATTGGACATGAACATCTCTCGAAATGCAGGCGGGAAATTACAACAACTCCGATATACAGGTAGCACGAGAGAACTACAAGTTCCCTTTTGAGTGAGTATGGGATATGGACTTTCATCCGTAACTTCCCCACTTCCCGCAGTACCAGAGCAGTAGCAAAGAAGGAAAGCGCTTGCTTCTCGTAAACACCGGCCGATGTGAAAGAGATCACATTCCTTTGATAAGTCAGACGCAATTAGGCAGGAATCTTTCTGACGATGACCTAAGACCATTCAAGTGGTTACAAGGAAGTTGTCAGCCCAGAGGCATGATCGTAGAGCTCGATGCAGATCCGCTGGTCATGCAAAGAGGTGATGGGAACTGACCTTGAGATGCACAGTGGCCGTCTGGCGTTTACGAACATTTGAGGCCTAGGCAACCCTGACGAAAAAATGCAGGATGCCGTTGAGGCTTTTAAGGGCCCATGAAGGAGACAAAGTGACACAGCATTCCAGACCAAGCTGCGGCGACAAATTGCAGGGCTCCTAGTTGAAATCAATACGCACAAGCAGCACAGAGCATCTGTCGTGACCTTTGCGGGTTTGGGCCTTATACATACTTAAAGGATACCACGATATACCACGCATCCAAAGGTCTCTGGGCCTTCATGCAGCATGATGTGCTGCTGGCCTCCGGAGAGTATGTTGATACCCCTTTTCAAGTGGTGTCAACAAGTCTCCATCTTTCATACAGAGTCGCCCTTATACTGTATCCGATGCCGAGGCATGGGAACCAACTGCTCATGCCAGACTGGGCCCAGCCAAGTTGCACGCGGTAGTTGAACTCTGGCGACAGCGTCCTCGGATCACAATGGAATTTGGTGCTAAAGGCTTTTGGGCACTCGGGTCCGGAGCAATCGCATGGCGCCTGAGCAAATAAGTTCCTACCCGGAAGGTCTTTCAAAACACAGGTGGTTTCCGAAAAGTACGCTTCTAAAGAAGCTGTGCGAGCCTGTAGGGCGTTGGAAAATCAGAAGTCGAAGGTAACGATCGAAGTCAGGACGAGAAATAAGCTGGCGCATGAATCCCAGCTTCAGTATTCAATAATTGAGTGACACATTCTCTTCTTGAAAGTGTTACACCTCGCATATACAGAAGAGTATGAACACACATATATGTATATGTATGTATATATCTGGTGTGCGCGAATATTCATACAAACAGCACATGCACACATATGATCATATTGGATCATATGTGAAAAAAAAAAGCACTATTGAGAGGGCAACCTCTAAGGCCAGACGTTTAAGCATCATAAGTACATGGGTGGTTGTCAAAATTATGGTCCCTTTTTGGGTACCCTAAATATTAGGTGCCGTATTATAATAGGAACCCAAAAAGGGACCATAATTTTTGACAACCACCCGCATGTATCTCGTTTGTTAGTTGTTGATTCTTTGTTGGTGCTTTGTTTTTGTGGGGGATGGGGGGCCGTTTTTGGCTTAGGGTTTTGAGCTTCCAGGCCCCATTACGCTATAAGCGTCCTTTGTTACCGAGCCTCCCAAAACGAGCGCTCTAAGTTTCGGAAACCCCATGGGTCTCAGGTGCCTTTGGATCAGTTGTGGAGGAATATTCGGAAACTCTCATGTATGGAGTTCAAGGCACTCTATAAAAACCACTATAAAGACTACTGTCCTTGTGAAAGGGGATGAAGGGGCTAATACGGGGTTCCATGTTTGTTTGGGGAGGGCCTGTGGGGTAAGTCCGTCAAGGCCAGTCTCGTCGCACTAACACGTTTCAAGGGTTCGTGGCCATGGTGACGCTCTCCTGGGCTTTGGTTCGCTGGGGATCAAGGAATGGAAAAGAAAATGGAAACTACTGTAATGGGTTCTATATAGAGACCATCATAAGGATTCACTCCTTCAAGCCTAGCTAAGCGAAGGCAAGTTTCTGGCCTCCCTTCTACAAAGCAACCTCTCCCACAGGATAGTTGAGTCTGCCATGATGGCTGCTGACGGATAAAATGCACCCAGTCACTTGTACTGTGTCTCCGACCGGAACGTATGGGCACCGATCTTCACCTTCACCTGAGTGCTAAACCATATGCCCTAAACCCTTGCTCCTTGGCCGATGTCGCATTCTCAATCCGTGCTAACGGAGAAAGGATCTGAGATCAGGCTCAGGAAATCATTCGCAGCAGGTAGAGTTGTTCTTCCACAAATCGTGGTCCGGTGCAGGCTTCTGGGGAAGGGCATCTTGGCAGTTGACACCTCTCTAGCTAACCACGCGCTCTGTTTCTTCAGCTTTGATGCGCCCTGATCATGATGTGCGTTTTGCATTGGACATCGAAATTCATACTGGGTTCCTCTCACAGGACATTTCTGGCTCTCTGATGTAAGCTCAAATTCTGTCAGCCTTCAAGAAGCCCTGAACACAACTCACTATAATCCCTCTCCCTAGTAGTAAACCCCCCACACCACTCACATGAAATACTTCCATGGTGGTAGATTATAATATATAGGGAAGATTTAATACTATCCCCTCCAAACCAAGTAAGTTTGCTTCCTCTGCCAGTGACCATTTCTGCTTCCTGCACTCACTATGTACATGTCGCCAGACCATGTGAACACCGAACAGTTAAGATTTAAAGCTTGGGGCTTAAAGACCTAGCTACATCAAGCTGATCATAGTTCCTTTAGCGTGCTGTGACATTTAAGCTCGCAAAGAACAAAGGCATTAGGAATTCTTGTCTTGACATCTCGAACTACCCAACCACTGCAGCTCAACGTAGGAGCTTGCCAAGCTTCGGAAGATCTCGAGCTTGACAAGATTGTGGCTTCAGCGGAACCAGAGTTACCAGCAGAAGAAGCAGCAGCACTAGAAATAGGAGTTGCAGCAGCCCACCGACAGAGCACGAGTAATGAGCCTTTTCAAACCACCCCCAAGCACAAGACACTGCCAAGCGACATAAGGATCAGAGGTGCCTTTGCCGAAGAAGCTCCTTTTCTTATTCGGAAGCGGTGAGTGGATGACAAAAGGGTAGAAGCAATATTTTTGGCGGCGCCCGCGGTAAACACAACGAGCCCTAGGGCTTTTATATGGTTTGATTCTGGAGTGCCCTGGCATTTGCCCCGCATCCTCTCAAGGGTTTTGGTTTGATGGATGAACTCTACTTTTGCGCAGGGGGAAGAGAGCTGTCACTGGGACTAGTGCGAGGACAGTCCCCTTACAAATCCCCCGAAAGTTGGAACGGCTCGTAGGTTCAAAAGTATCCACATGCCGCCCCTAGTGACAATTCAGGCCTTGAAAATGCTTTGGATCATAGCGGATTCAGCCTGAGCTTTAACAGAATCAGCATCAGCATTCTTATGTAGGTCCGTAGGTATCATGGGAGATCTGCAGATAGGGGTATATGGCTGCAACACCCAAACTCCAAAACGAGGAACCACGCAAGAGGGGACTCCAGTTCTTCGAAAGTCGGCTCAACCCCATGATCAACTTCAGGGTTTAGAGTTTACTTGAGTAGTGTTTTTTTGGTGGTTGAACCTAGTAAGATAATATTCCTTATATAAAATACTATACCCCACGGGGAGGATAGAATCTTTCTCTATACTGGGTACCATAGTATCCCCAAATAAAATACTACTCACTTGACTGCTAGGTACTCTTTCCTGCCGCAACCCACGGCAGCCAAGCGGCGTGTCCATCGCAAGCAGATCCTTCGCACCCCACACCGTGACCCACATCATTCCTAGCACAGGGATCAGCCAAAGGCCCCATATAGGCGTAATTAAAAACCCTTCCCCTGGGTAGCCGCTAGGAAGTCTAACTGTATCCTGCAGGTATGTAATTCTGAGAACTGCAAGAGGGTAGACAGACAAAATTCATGGGACCTATGCAACCTTTGATTTGGGAGGCATCCTACGTGCTTGGGCGGGGTGTAATAGTAATTGGAAAGACCCGAAGTACTGTAGCATTGCTGGGTCTTAGTAAGTAAGTTGTTGCCTACTCTACTTGCAGGAGCAGAATGCGCTTCAGCATTCAAGGTCCCTATAGCAGAATTTCCAACATTTCAAATTTCCTTCAAATATGCAAAGAAGCCCATGAGATCGAAGCTCCGAGAACAAAGGCTGCCCGACAAAAAATGTACCCTCTTTTCTGACGCCACGAAAAGGCATGTGAAGCTTTGGACCCTAAACTGCAAGCTGCGCACCCAAAAAAAGCTGCGCACCAAAAAAGCACAGCCTGCTGCGACCCTGAACCCTCGCGCTGCCAGCCCAAGCGTCCCTCCGGCGGAGGGCTCACAATAGAGAAAAGATCCACCTGTGAGATGAGCCTTGCCGGGCTACAGAGATGGACCGGTTTAGGTTTAGGTGATTCCCAAGGAGGGAGAGTCGCCTGAGAGAGGTTTTAATGAGACATACTGGTTATGCATTTACAAGTAGTACAAAAACGTGTCTGTATGTATGTATGTCTGCATGCATGCGTGCATGCATGGGTGCATGGATGGGCGTATGTAGGTAGGTAGGTAGGTAGATAGGTAGGTAGGTAGGTATGTATGTATGTAAAGTGTAGGGCGGGACCCGATAGAACGTGTAGGGATATGTGACGTGTGTCAAAGGGCAGGTTGCATATAGGGGTTGGGTTTGTTCTTCTTGCAGGGAAAGTCGAGGAGTTCAATCTTCAACGAGTCCTGTAGCCCAAAAGCAATTCAGCGCGAAAGAATCCCTCATTTAATGAAGGCAAGGGTGCTCCGCCCGCCCCCAAACGCTTCCCCATAAGAATGGGTGCAACCCTCGCATGGCCAGCAGGGAGCCATGTGCTGAAGCGTTCAGTGGGGTTTAGGGTTCAAGGGCCTCCTAACTTGCTAGCTGCTGGCACCTCAGGGTTCGTAGGCCTTACGGATTTCCAATTCGGTTTGGTGAGGTTCTAGTACAGTACAGGTATCCAAGGATGATAAGGGCACGACGTATTTTCTAACTGTTCTCTCCTCTTGGAGTTGTTTTCTGTGGGTTGGCGTTGCCAAACGCTTGCTGCTCTTGTTGAACAGGGCATGGGCTTTTGAGCTTTTGGTTTAGATTTTGGGTTTAGGGCCTCAGGGTTCAGACTTTTGGTTTTTCAACCCTGAGCTACCCTAAACCTGTATACATAGATGCTTTGGAAACAAAAGGTCGGGCAGGGCTCTAGGCAGCTAGCTGTTCGCTTAGCTTCTTAGGCTGTGTAGATTGATCATGTTCGTGCCGCTAAGCGAGAGGATCCCCAATTCCACTGTACACAAGCAATAAACCTAAACATCAAGCTCTCTATCCACACAAAATTCTTGAAGCTTACAGCGTAAAACCCTAGAGCTGCACGATCCTCCAGGGGGATCCTCCAGGGGTGTTATCATTAGGAGACGTGTATAGGCTATACCCCCGTATCCTTTCCTTCCGTGGCCGGGAAAATGAACGATTTTGAGTCTGGACATTGCACGCGCAGCTACAATAGACTGGGCAAACTCCGCAAAGCATGCAACTCACTTCAGCCAAACTTTACCGGCCAGTTCATGCGAAGCGGCTCTATCTGGATCATGGTAATTATAGCATTTATGCTTTTGAAATTAATATCACCAAAACAAGGCAGTCGGAATATGAGCAATGGCCACAGACCCTTGGCTCAAAGTCATGTTCTCGAAGCAGCATAGAAAATCATTCTCTTGAATCTATATGTTGAATTACTTTTACGCAAACATGAAGGTTGCTAGTCAGCCACAACTCAGGGAAGCAAGCCAGAAAAGCCCTAAACCCTACTAAACCCTAAAACCTGATACCCCAAACCCTTATCCCAAAACCCTCAAACTGCCAAAAAAAACTGCATAACA